AAATACCTGTTGATGCTGTAATTGTGATGGATAATGCATCATATCATAACCGAAAAGTTGAGAAAATTCCCTCCTCGTCATCAAGAAAAGCTGAAATGCAGGAGTGGTTACATATGAAAAATATTAAATTTGAAGAGGGTTCAACTTTTACACCTAATTGGGCAACATAAAGATGCACATAATGTGTATATTGTCGATGAAATGGCAAAAGAAGCCAATAAAGTTGTTTTGTGATTGCCCCCATATCACTGCGAGTTAAATCCGATAGAATTGATATGGGCACAAATAAAGAATGAGGTGGCAGCTAAAAATACAACTTTTAAGTTAGCAGATGTGAAAGGCCTTTTATTACAAGCTATTGGAAATGTAACGCCTACAAATTAGCATAAGTGTACAACATGTGATTAAGGAAGAAGATAAAATGAACACATCAGATGGAATAATGGATGACATGATAGAGCCCTTAATAATAATTGCCAACACTGGAAGCTCAGACGAAATGGAATCTTTTGAATACGAATCGTCTGATGTTGATTAATATATTGAGTACCTGGTGTTTTTTCTTTGTTTCTATGTAAATGTCAAGATGAACTTTGGGTTTTTACTTAATATGTTGTATAGACACTACTTATGTATTTGTTCTGTTTGTGTTTTGCAAACTTATTATTAATTAAAATATTATAGCAAATTTGTAAAATAAAGATAACTATTATTCATGTTGTTTTTTTAATTCACATTAAAAAAAAAAAACTTTACAAAACTGTGCACTGTAGTACATATTATAAATTGGTCAACATTGCTTTTTGGTGTTCTAGTTAAACAAAAAAACAAATTTGTTAGTTTTAAAAATTGAGGAATTTACCTAAATGATTAAACTGTAAGTGAATATTCAAGTAATTTTTATTTATTAGAAAACAAAACCATTCACAAAATTGTCACAATAAATACATAGGTAGGTATAAATAAAATACTTTAAATTAAAAATAATACTCGTAAAATCAAATCCTGACTCATAAACTTTATAGGTTTGTAAGCTTTTGAATATCTTCACCCAGCAAGCACAAAACGATCTATGAATGTAACAGCTACTTCCCCATAAAACATTGAACCCATGTGATGTACTTTTATTGTTAAAGTAACCAAACAAAAATTTAAAATAAAAGCCTTACACACAGTTTTTTAAAACCACAACCAATGTTGAAATGTTTTAAGAGTTTTTACATTCACAAGTTCTAGATGATATACATAGGTATAGGTGTATTATTCTAAACAATCACTATATTCTACTTATCAGAGTCATTACTATACTCTATTTACCAGGACCATATCAATGAATTTTTTAAAAAGATATTTTAGCAAAATATAATCTTATATATTTGATAAAAACCGAAGTACCTACCTATATACTCTTTTTATTAAAACACAACTCACTTAATTCTTGAACATTTATTTATTTATTTCTTAAACCCTTGAATTGAAGGATTTCTTAGAAGTAGCACGTTTACTTCGATATACACATTACATGTATGTAACAAACATATATAACAAAATATTCAATATAAACGTCTAATATTAGGGCCAAATCACAAATAAATGTTGATATAAAAACATCACATAATCGCCCAATTATGTTCTATGCCCTTTAGTGTATTAACTATAAGTTAACACTAAATAAGCCACATATTCATATTACTCATGGGAGGAATTCCAGTCACTCTGTGATCCAGAGTAAAGAGTACTGTGTGGTAAAGGGGTCCAAGCCACTTATTAACTTTTACTTAAGTTTATACCTACAACAAATGTACCTATCATTGAAATGTAAACAGATCGTATTTTTATATTTTATACTAACCTGCATCTGAATATTCTATTAACATTTTCTTAAATATTCAATATCCATTTCAAAAAGATTAAAGTTATTCTCAAAAAGTCGATTTTCTAACAAAAATATATAATATACTTATATTTATATTTCTGATAACCTATAACATCAACAAAGTCAACAGCCATATTTAATTTCAATTTTCAATTAATTGACACTATTGACAGTTAGTTTTTGCCCAAGATCACAGAAATTTACTACTGTTGTCTGGGACCAATAAAAAGTTGACTCCTAGACATATTTATTTGTGTCTTGACCTCTCATTGGCCGTTCGCTGACTAGGACCAGTCGGACCGATAATGATAACTATTTTAGAGATTTTGAACGCGACTATTTCGGAACACGCTCTTTAGTAACTAATTTAGTTACTTTTAGTGGTGTGAGTAAGGCTTTTCGAATTACTCCTCCTGGTTTTTAAATAGACTATAGTAGACTGCGCCTGATATAATTTCGTACTGGTTTCATGTCCTCCTCAAGGTCATTGATTTATGTTCCGTCACGCAGCCCCTTATAACGAAGGCATCTGATTTGTCGGTTCTAAAAGTATATGTATAGAATAGAATAAAAAAACTTTTTTCACAAGTACACATTAAAATGAATGGCGTCGTATACAATCAAAATAAAATGAAATGGTTACAATATGGAATATACAATAAATTAACTTAAAAACAAACAAATATTTATTTTAGTGACACATAAATAAATTGGCATTCAATAAAAATGGGAAACAAATAACAACAAGCAACAAACAAATGAAAATGCATTGATTTTGAATTGATTATAAAAGTTATGCAACCTTCTCCTCTTTCATAAAGACATTGTCTAATAATTTGTTCGCCATAATTACGTCAACTGGTAGATGGGAAACTCAATGGTAAAATTATTAGGCCATGGTTAGTAGACAATACGGTGGTCTCATCCTGTAACTAGGGACAGAAGTGTGACGTCACATAATAAAAAATTGAGGTTACAGAAAACATTCTACTTGGGTTCATGCATTAGTTTTTTAAAAAATCTTATATTTTGTTGTTACTGAGTGGCGTTTATATTTTTATTTATAAACTATATTCAAGTGTTAGAGTTTTTATATTATCGGTAGTTTGATTTTTTAAAAGATAAGCTTAAAAACATCTAGGAAAATTCATTAATTTGATTTTTATAAAATTTCTAATTAATTACTTTTTATTTGATATATAAAGAGAAATATTAATTGGTTTATTTCAAATATTTTGGTAGAACACGGCCTTTTATTTATACCCTGAAATAATTTGAAATTTTAGTATGTCTGGAGCGAGATATAGTGTTGCTTTTTGGGGATACAATATTTACAAACAAATTTCATTAGAGGAATGAGACTATAATTAAAGGCTAATGGTGGGATATTTAAATATTATTCTGCAATTATTATTCAATATTATTGAATTGAAGCTTAGTCCACCCTACATTTAAGAGCAGATAAGATGGTTTTTTACAAATATTAAACACAACCAAGAGCACTTTTGTACAGTTAAAATCCCCAGCAAGGGATACTTAGTATTTCTGAGGTAAAAATAGCAGTTTTTACTTAAATGTTTTATGATAAATGCCTTAGAAATATCTTCTGAACTCAGTTTATAATAATTTGCAGCTCATTTTTACTAAGAAAAACTCGATTTTTCAATAATGTGTTTTTTTTAGGAAATCCCATTGACTTTTCTTGCACTTGGTTCCGTCTCATGCTTGGAAGAAACCATCTACTATCTTATCTGCTTTTAAATGTAGGGTAGATAAAGCTGCAATTAATTAAATAATAGGTGAATGATAATTGCAGAATAATACTCTTAAATTTTACCGTTCGACTTTAATTTCAGTTTAGGCTAAGTCCTTTCTTCGAATTATTTTTGTGTGTAAACATTGTTTGCCTATAGCAACGCCCTAGATATGCTAATATTTTAAAACATTTTAGGGTACATACATTAATATTTTTCTTTATAATTCAAATAAAAAGTAATTCATTTAAAATTTTATGGAAATCTTTACATTATTTTTCCCTGCTGTTTTGTAGCTTATCTTTTTAAAAATCAAACTACCGATACTAAATATAACAATAAAATATTAGATTTTTAAAAAACTATTGTAAGAGCCGAAGTAGAATATTTACTGTCAACTCACTTTTTCATTCCGTGACGTCACTTCATCCTTAGTAACCAGGATGAGGCCACCGTTTTAGTTTACGAACCATGGTATTAGGCGATGTGGCGCCACCTTTTAAATTGCTTTGGTTCTAAATTCAATATGGCTATCAGGGCGGGCTTTTCAAAATTAAAATGTTTAGTGATTTCCGTTAGTTTTATATAAAAAACTAATAAAAACAAATAAAATGGTAATATAAATTGGCTAGACTTGTTTTAAAGTTAAAAAAAGGCGAATTTATAGTGTAATTTCTTCTTGTATCCATTAAGTTTATGAACGAAAAACATGATTTATGAAATAAAATAAAAAATGGTTATTTCTAAATTTCGTTTTATTGTAATGTAAAACTGCGATATATAATTTGTATGGTTTTATATGGGAAGGACTAGTCAAATTATTATCAACACTATTTATATAAATATTGGATTATACATTTGAACATATAGTCATTCAAATGAAATGCTAATAATAAGTTATCAAAACTAAGGAGAATCGTACTGTGTCGTATAGAATGTTTGTTCCAAACTTGTTACAGAGTACACTATTCAGTAACCAGTTTCATAATGTTCAACATTATGCAAGTTGGATTTGTGCAGAAACCTATTTTCCTAGTGGTTCTAACAAAAAAAAAAATGTTTTGAAATAAAAAAATTTAATATATAAAAAGCAATTTATGTTCTACTACATATCTACCACATATTTTACATAATTCTACTACATATCTATTTTACATAAATTTCATAATTACAACTCTTAAATAAGTGGGTCAAACTCAAGGACATAAAATATGCGGCTCGCAGATGTGAATTAGAAATTTGGCAAAAACAACTGAATTTTAAATTTTTATTAAATCTTCCTACAATTATTGTAATTCTACAAATATGTTTAAAATAATTTGTTACTGGTTAAAATTAATGTACGTACTTATTTTTGTTTTGTTTTTTAGTTATAATACTGAAAACGGAATTTCAGCAGCAGAATCTGGTGTAACAAGATACTTTGATCAAGAAAATAGTGCCCAAAGCGTTCAAGGTTATTTTGAATATACTTCTCCCGAAGGCGTGCCAGTACATGTCCAATATGTTGCTGATGAGAATGGTTTTCGACCAGAAGTTACTAAAAATAAAGTAGTTGTAGGTAATGAATTTGCAAGACGAGTATCTTCACTATCTTCCAGCGCTCCTTCTTCGTAACCGTTGTATATTTAAAATATTATTGTATTTTTTATATTAAAATTAGAATTAGGCTCTTATTACTTAATAAAGAAACTTTATTAATTTTCAAAGTTGTTTTGTATTTAAAATTTTTATTGCAGCATGTTTTCCCAATCTGTTTAACAGACTGCAAAACGGCTAATTATTTTTCAAAGTAATTTTAAGATTTTAATTAGACCCACCTATTGAAAGTTAATCCAACAATACGGAATAAATTTGTTTTTAGCCTTATTATTTACTTTTGGAAAAAATCTGAAACAGTTTGATTTTTATTCTTAATTTGACAATTTATACTATGAAAATATTACTTTCCTCTTGCGAGCCCTCTGAATTATGAGCACTCCATTGAAATTTTTAAATAAAAAAAGAGGCCATGTGGCACTTTGTTTGAAAGATATTTTAATTATCTTGTTACATACGTAATCGTAGGCTTCATCTAAATAAACTAATTAGCCATCCAATAGTGTGTTACGTAATTGTCCTAGTGAAAATTGGGATATCAACCGCGGATAGATCTAGTTGGAGGTGATGTGGTCCGATCTCTAAAGGTGATTTTTGTTACTAAATAGAAAAGGTAAGGCAATCCATCTTAAACCATCTTAAACCTTTAAATCTTTGCGAAAAACAGGTGCCAGATCTCGAGCATCGTTGATGTTGACGTAAGTACTACAGACCATCGAGTAGTCTTATTTGTTTTATGGGAGCAGTCCTTCTTCTTTGAAGTCCATTACTTATAGCATAGGTGATACATTTCTTACACCAGTCCTTTTGCATCATCGAAACTGTTCTTCTACTAGAACCTTTAACGAACTCCCTGAAGGGTTTTATGTACACCAAGATATCTTTCTGCTGGACTGTCGTGTAATACTAATATAATATTATTAATAAAACGCATCCTAATTTACCCCCTTACGAGTAAATTTTAACCCCGAAAGCTAAGCTTGTCCGGAGAAAGGGACGGCTATTAGTATTATTCACATGGTTTTCGTAGGATTCGAAATCGGTGTGTCTTTTACCACTAAATGCTCGCAAATGAATGCGGCACCGTAGACACCTACGCTACCGTAGTACTTCGGCTACTCTAAGGAGGAGGAGGAGGAGGAGGAGGAGGAGGAGGAGGAGGAGGAGGAGGAGGAGGAGGAGGAGGAGGAGGAGGAGGAGGAGGAGGAGGAGGAGGAGGAGGAGGAGGAGGAGGAGGAGGAGGAGGAGGAGGAGGAGGAGGAGGAGGAGGAGGAGGAGGAGGAGGAGGAGGAGGAGGAGGAGGAGGAGGAGGAGGAGGAGGAGGAGGAGGAGGAGGAGGAGGAGGAGGAGGAGGAGGAGGAGGAGGAGGAGGAGGAGGAGGAGGAGGAGGAGGAGGAGGAGGAGGAGGAGGAGGAGGAGGAGGAGGAGGAGGAGGAGGAGGAGGAGGAGGAGGAGGAGGAGGAGGAGGAGGAGGAGGAGGAGGAGGAGGAGGAGGAGGAGGAGGAGGAGGATTGTAAAAAAATGAATAAAAGTGGGCGGGGCGGAGTTAAGGTGTTGAAATATTTAAAATAAATTTAACTCACAAAAAATCGATGATATAGCCTTAAAATTGTTGGAAAAATCAAGCCTCTACAAGGGGGCGAAATTAAGCTTTCCCTACAAAACTTGGAGGAGGAGAAGGAAGAGGAGGAGGAGCTGTTATTCGACATGCCAATTACAGTAAATTTCACGAACTTTATAAAAAGAAGAAAGGAAATTTGAGACTTCTTTGCCGATTCGCTTCCTTCTCTCTAGTCTTCATGTTTGTTAAAAACGTACATGTTTTTAAAAGACGAATGCTTATCGAACGTTAGTCAAGATTATAGATTTCAAGAACTTTTCAACCACTTATTTTCTAGAACGGTTCTTTTTTTAGCGATTTTTGAGGATAGCCGCCCAGGTATAAAAATTTGATGCAGGAATAAAAACATTTAGATTTAAACGAATATTTATATTGTAAGAATAAAAAAGCATCCACCAATGTTGTGAGGGTATCCGTCATATCAAAACCAATGGTAAATTATCATTTAGATTCAAACTAAAATGGCATTTTTATAGCTAAACAGTGACTCAGGATATTCTATTTTTTATACGACAGCTATAATATCGCAGCTGTTAGTTAATAGAGCTAGTTGTAGTATCATAAATTTAAAAAGGTACATTAATTATATAAAAGAAATCCAAGAAAATTCTAAAGGTGTCAAGGCTGGTTGATAATAGGTTAAGTGATTCTTCGATAGAGTACGGCATCAAGCAATGTCTTAGTAATCAAATAATGCCAAACGAGTTCCAAAAGATACGTAAAATACGAAATGCGTTAGTCCTCAACATTTAATACAAAATTAAATAAAATAACTATACAAGAGTATGAAATATGTCTCGGACAGTTTTAAATGGCAAAACCTTTATTTTTTCAAAACTACATAATACCTAAGCCAATAGCTGCTACAAATTCTAGACAGCTAGAATGACAACTATTACAAAGCTAATGGCTGTTAAAAATGTTTGACAGCAATTATGACATGCTATCAAAGAAAATATTACCGTTTTTTAATACTTTGAAAGTGATATTGTAGAATTGCGTTACATAATTATAATTAACCTGCTTTGATATCTTTAGACTTTTCTTAGGGTACGTAAGACATTTGTATTACCTTTTTGGTAAGCTGAATTATATCTACTTAACGTTATTTTGATTCCTTTATACTCTTATATTAAATATTCATACCGTTATTTTATTTAATTTTGTATTAAATGATTAGGAGTCTGACGCATCTCGTATTTTACGTAGCCTTTGGAACTCGTTTGGCATTATTTAATTGCTAAGACTTTGCTTGATGCCATACTCTATCAAAAAATCACCCAATCTCTTATCAACCAGCTTTTATACCTTTAGAATTTTCTTAGATTTCTTTATTAAAATCAATGTACCTTCCTAAATTTATCACACTACTATTAGCTCTTTTAACCTTCGTTGCTATAATACAGCTGTCGTAGAACAAATATAATATCCTGAATCACTGTTTAGTTATAAAAATGATATTTTAGTTTGAATCTAAATGACTGTTTAAAAATGATAATTTACCATTGCTTTTGATATGAGGGACAACATAAGTGGATGCGTTTTTACTTTAAAGTTTCTTACAATATAAATATTTCTTTAAACCTAAATGATTTATAATCTTGTATCAAGTTGTGATATCTGCTTAACGTAATTTGTTTTTTAATAAATGCTGAGGATTCTGAAGTATCTACCATTTAATATAAATTTAGAAATTTCTCATAATTTTGTTACAAAATCATCTTTTGTAGATATTAAACATTAAATTTTATTAAATGTTAAGAACTCTGAATCACCTCGGTTTTTAACTAGCCATTGGAATTGGTCTGGCATTAGTTGATTACAGAGACTTCACTTAATCCCTTTTTATATCGAAGGATCACGTAACATATTATTAACCAGCTTTAATATCTTTAGACTTTTGTTAGATTGCATATTGCCTTTGATAAAATCAATGTACCAGCTTAAATTTATCATACTACTACCTCAATTTACCTGCACTATTATAATACATCAGACGTTGAAAAAATATTGTATTCTATTAGATTTTTATCAAATGGAATCTTACATTATTAGCATTGGTCGTAGAAAATACATTACCTGATTCATTATTTTGTTAGAAAGTGACATTTTTAGTTTACGCAGGTTTTTGGTATCTCAACTTTATTTCAACTCAACTTTTATAATAACTATACAACTGATAACATTAACACAGTCAATAGCTAAAGAATCAGTTCGCTCACTCTGAGTCGACACTTTTGATCTCAATGTTCCAGTTTATACATTGCGCAACTCTGATTTGTATCTCTGGCGCATACAGAATCAAATCATAATAGCCCAAGAGCCCATTGCAAATTTTTACCGCCATCTGATAATGAAATAACATATACCACAAAAGCTTGTAAAAACATTGTACTTTACCGAATGGCACCTGTGCCAATCCCAATCCGGAGCAAAGTGATTAAAAACAAAAATTATATTAAAAAATCACATAAGGAATGACGGCGCTAATTTTGTTTGCCCTTAAAGTTTTCCAGATAATAACATTCAAATATATCTTGATATACAGGATGTTAAAATAAAGTGTCACAAAATGAAATTGTGAATAGTATGACCCAAAATAAGCAGAAAAGTCTTAATAAATATATGACCGCAAATTAACGGTTTCGGAGATACGGACCATTTTGTGTTTATAACAATTTTTTATTATTATAAAAAAACAATGATATTTATAAACAATCAATAACAACATAGAGTTAAATGAGATGTTCAAAGTGCCCTCCCTCCATTTCAATGCATTGCTATTTGCACGACCGTACATAAAATGCATGTCAGCTAATTCAATATTAGTGTAAACAGGCATAACGAAAATTTATAAAATTATTCAACCACAACAAAATAATAACTGCAAATAGTATCTATGAAAAAACATCGGTAGACTCCGATAAGAAAAGCAAGTTTTTAAGAATGAAAAAAGATAATCAAAAAATTATACAAAACACAAAACACTCCGTATCTCTGAAACCATTCATTTGCGGACATATGTTTATTAAGACTTTTCTGCATATTTTGGCCCATACTACCCCCCGTTTTATTTTGTGACACTTTTCTTAACACCCTGTACATTGTTAACGAGAAACATTTTCTTCCCCTTAACATCGCACAAAAACATCTACACGATTAGTAGGTAAAAATCTTAAAAAATTCAGGTTTAAAAGCTAGGTTCACAATGAATTAGGATTGTAATTTTCAGGGAAAACACAATTATCGCTGTCATGTATTATGTGATTTTTGAATATAAAATAATTTTTTTTAACCACTTTGCTCAGGATTACAGATTGGCGCAGAAGCAGTTTCGTAAAGTTCAATGTTGTTACATGTCTTTGGAGCATATTTCATTTTATTATCAGATGGCGGTCGTAATTTACAGTGGGCTCTCTTACTATAACCAATTAGGCATTGCAACGACCT